TATGTGTGCTATGCATTTTAGTTGTTGCTGCTGTTGAAAGTCCTCAGGTTGTATGGTTTCTGCCAGCTGGTACATTTCATTGTGATTCTAAAGTGCCAGCCGACAAATTTTGAAGAAAAATGGTCCATACTAAGACCTCAGTCATTTTTAACCATTTAAATATTTCTGAATGAGTTTGGCACCATGCATGGCATCCATGTAAAAGTTTTGATCTGACAAGGCTATTTAAGAACAGGACTCAAGTTTTTAAGTTAATGTTTTGGTTTTGTAGCAATTTGCAGTGTTGGGTGAAAGTACCTCTAGTGCAGCCTATTCTATATTCAATTTCTTTATCCCCTAAATTATAACTGATTTCTACACAGGTATTTGAAATGTTTGTTATTTAATAATTCCTTATCATAAATTTTTATGATGGATTCAGAGTAGGTGCCACTGTTTTCATTCCAATTCCAGATGATAGTTTCTGTTTTGGAATACTTGGTAGGTGATGTTGATGTTAAAACTAATTAACCATTTGGAAAGATCTAACATTTTGTGAAACTTGTTTTAGGTCTTCTTACACTGATAGTAATTCCAAAAATGATTCCAGAAAATTCATAGTTCTTTATAAAGGCAGTGAAAACAATGATTGTTTTGGAGTGGCTGATATTTTGCTTATATGTCACACAAATATATACCAATCTGTAGTGGGTAAGCTTTAACAAAAGCCTTGATGCTTAGTTGAAAATTTGAGAAATTGAATAATAAACCAATATTTGTTGAAGTTAATTGTATTTTAGTACATTCACATTATTAAAAGTATGAATTTTTTCTATCCTTGATTTACTTTTGACTCCTTATGTTGTTTTTGTTTGCCTTTTGAATCCTTGAAATATAGGTTTTTCATTTTTTTATAACTGATCTGAATGTTTAAAATACCAAATTGTCATTAATTTTTATTCATAGGAACTTGTCTGTAAATATTTTTTCACTAAACATTTCTTATATTAGTGACAAATATTGGTTCCAGCAGAAAACTTAAATGATTATTTATGCTAGCAACTGAATAATCTTGTGAATTCTTATGGGTAAAGAAAAAACTGCATAGCTATCATTTAAATTCCTAGAATAGTTTTTGCTATGGTCCTAGAAGTTATTTTACAACTGTGAATTGAGTTGTTTTGAATTTTATTAACACATTTTTTTATTTAGATTTTTTTGAGTATTCTTGAATTTCTCACTATTATTTGACTCAATATATTAAGAATAAATAAGTATCAGATTTTAGAAAATAAGTTAGGGTAAAAGAGCAGAAAGTAGATGTGATTGTCTGATTTCTTTTTTTAAAACTCAACTTCATGTTACTGACCATTCTAATTATATCGATAGCAGTGGTAAGATCTCCAATTTCACTTTCCTCCCTTTTCTCTTTCTTCTTCTCTCTTTTGGCATGAACATTTTTTCTTACCATCTCTGCTGAATACTGTTTATATATTTTTTATTTGTTATTTTCAAATACTAAACCAATTCAATATATGTTTAATTTATAGACAGTTATAATATATGAAGTCTGTCCAGAATGTATTCAGCCACTTAATATTAAAGAAAAAGAAAATAACTTAACTAGAGCAATAGTTCCTTAGTCCCTTCACAATACTTCCCTTGGGACTTCACATAGGATCCCTTCTATTTTTATGCCCTCTTTTGAGATTACCATCAGTTGTTTCATTACATTCTCCTTAATCTTATCCATGATATTTCAATAATTATTTTTAGCTTTGGAAAAAATCCAGAAGTTACATTGATTCAAATTTGGAGTCTATGGGAGATGTGGGACATAAGTGATGTTCTTTTTTGCTAAAGAACTCAGCATGAGATTTGAAAAGTTTATTCATTCAGTCATTGTGAATGTCACACAGTAAGCAAACTTAAACAATGACACTTTACTGCTGACTGAGTAACTCTGCACAAGAGAATGTCATGTCTATGCATGCATGTAAGCACCACCTGATTGGTGGCCATGTTGCATCAATGCTGCACACCTGATTTTCATGATATTCAAAATGACTTTATACATTCCAGATGGAACTCAGAATTATGCTACCCTCACTTTATCATTATTAGTCAACCATAATTTACATTATTTACATTTAGTCTAATGTCCTCATCTTTGTTGTTGTTATCATATTTCAGCCATTGTACCCTCTAGCCTTCTTTAAGTATCTGTCAATCTGGGTAACGTATAAGGAATTTTGAACTGAGCTCTTATTTAGCATAGTGGATTAAAGCTTCGGTTTGTGAATTTAGTATCATTGTAATTGTAAGTTCAATCCCTGGGCTGAGTAGTATGGATAGACTCAATGGAAACAGGGCAAGTATTAACTGGGTAGTGCTAAAAAGAAAAAGACAATATATCTCTAGTCATAGACAGTAAAAGGAGGATTAAATAAAGGGTTCAGTTCAAAATTCCTGGAGGATTATCTGAATTAACAGACACCTGAAGATGGCTGGGGCATAAAACAGGCAAAACCTTGTGGTATTAACAACAAAGACGAGGACAATAGTTCAAATGTAAATAATAACTCCTCCTCCCAAAAATTCAGATTAGTCGTCCATAATTTAAATTAAATTATCTGATCAATGTAAATCTAATATATTTATGATTTGTCTATGAGAAGATCTAACACCAGTTTTCCTGCATACCCTTTACAGTATAATTTACATTATTCAGACTATTGTCCTCATCTTTGTCGCCATATTTATTACATTGTTTTGGTCATTGTATGCTCCAGCCTTCTTCAGGTGGTTGGAATGTCGAACTGAACCCTTTATTTTGCTCACTGGGGTAGACTGTTCTAATTCCACGTGCCATGTTTAATGGATATCAGTTATCTCCTGTTAATTTCCCTCTGAAAGTTCTCCACTTAACTGGATATTGAACTCACACTCTTTGGGTCCTGTCACTGGATCTAACCAATGCCTTTATCCACTGTGCCACTGTGGATAAAGTTGATAACTGATAACTGACATCCATTAAACATGGCATGTGGAATTAGAACAGTCTACCCCAGTGAGCAAAATAAAGGGTTCAGTTCGACATTCCAACCACCTGAAGAAGGCTAGAGCATACAACGGCTGAAATGTTGTAATAAATATGGCGACAAAGATGAGAACAATAGTCCGAATAATGTAAATAATGTACATAATACCTCATCTCAGAAATATAGACAGATACTTTACAGAATTAGTCAAAGACTTTGATGAAATGTCCTCAGAATGTTTTCTAATTTTTTATAAAGATTTATTTCAGCATAACATATTCCATTTTAGATCAGCTAGTTATGTCACCCTAGATTTTAGCTGTAATCCTTTTGTTTGTACTAACTTGGTACATAGTCAGAAACTCAGATCAACTGATGCTTTGCTGAAATCAATACACAAAAAATCTGTTATTTTGATGTACTGTTATAATAACAGCTTCAACAAGTTTATATGCAACACAATAATTTTCAGTTCTATTGACATTTTGAATATTTTTATGAAAGAAAAACAAGTTAGATTGTCATACAATATCAAAAAGAAAGCAATTCAAGTGTGATTTACTCAATTTTTACAATAGAAACAACATAAAAAGAAATATAAAAGTACTCAGTTGTTTAAAATGATTATTTCTTTGTGATCATTATTGACTTACATTATCCAAATCACCAGTGACTGTCTAATTTAAATACCTTAAAGTTTTTCTTTCCCATTCTATATATGTCTATAACAAGGGACTCAATTTTGCTAGTTTGTAGAGAGTGCTACCAGCACCTGATAAAATGGGGTGTATCAGAATGCATGTTTTGTGGGTCTTAGGTAGAGCATAAGGTTTGAGTATTCTATTAGTTTATATCATGACTTGTTTTCATTACTAATTAACTTTCTAACTGCTCCATTAAATTTCTGTATTTCTGTAATTATTTTATGTTCATCTATTTTCTCATATGTGTTAGTATCATTGAGTAGTAAATTAATTTTATCACTGTATGTGCTCCTATTCATAATCACAATTCCACTTCCTTTGTCCAACTGAAGAAGTGATGTAAATTTCCATATTTTTGTGCTAAATTTCTTAATGCTTTTAAGTGTCCCAATATTAAAAAAAGAATTGTAGACTTTATTGAAGTAGCATGGTATTATTTTAAATAATCTTTTTCTTAGCACACACACACACACACACATATATATATATATATATATAATTTGTGTGTGAATCTTTATTACATACAAAAAAATAGATAAGTTTAGTTAAAATTCAAGATACTTTTTTGTCTTTTAAAAAATAAGACTTTACACAAACATCTGTTTATAAAAAAATCTAATTTTGAAAATTATAATTCTATACTAACTAGTTTTTCAATTCAAATTTATTATAAAGTTTAATCTTATGATTTTTTTTCATTGTAAATGAATTGAGATGAATTTGTAGATGAAGTGGTATCTTTTGATTTCCATATTGCAGAAGAATAACTTTTGTTTTGTCTTTTTTTTATCAAGTTTTATTTGTGTATGTAATGCTTAAGATCTATAAATTTAATATCTCCATATTGTTTTTAAACTTCAGCCTGTCATCTCTTTTTCACTAAGATACTGAATTACCATTTCAAATTGGAAAAACAAGGACAGGGTAAATTGATCATTCTAAAGAAGCTTTCTAAATTCTTATATTAGATATATGCAAAAAGTTTCAATGCTATTTTTTAAAGACTAAATTGAATGCAGTTGAAAGACTTTTTTTTTTTTTTTCTTTTTTTTCTTTTTCTTTTCTTTTCTTTTTTTTGCTGTAAACTTTTGCAAACATCTAGTAATGCCTTAAGTAAAAAATACTGATACTTTGTGTATTTTTTTACTCTTTTAATTATTTAGAATTAATAGGAATCAAAGCATTATTTCCTTTTCTGTTTATTTCTATTATCTTTGTTTATGATGATATGTTTTATGATAAAAAATCTTTTCTATTTTTTCCCATTCTTTTTTAGGTGCTTATTATTGGTTCTGGCCCATGTGGATTAAGAACAGCTATTGAAGTTGCTTTGTTGGGAGGTAAAGCAGTAGTAGTGGAAAAACGAGACAGATTTTCTCGTAATAATGTCTTGCATCTTTGGCCATTTCTCATCACTGATTTAAAAAATCTTGGTGCAAAGAAATTCTTTGGCAAATTTTGTGCTGGTTCCATTGAACATATAAGTAAGTATATTTCTGGGTATGTTTTATGAACTTTTTAAATATTAAATAAAATTCTGATAACATAGTTCAACTGAATGTAAAGAAATGTTTTCTGATTTTAATATAAATATCTATGTTTCTATGTTATAATACTGATGTTGGGGAGGGAAGCAAACTTTTGATTTAGTCAAAGTTAAAAATTATTTGTTTTGATATCATTTATTTTCTTGCCATTCTCAGTTTAATAACATAGAAGATTGTTTCAGAAAAAGTAATATGTACTTAATAGTTATGACTGATTTTGAAGACTGTTTAAAAAATCAATGTAATCAAATTACTGAAATATTTAACAACTTGTTAAAATATTTTAAAAAAATATTTGATAAGCTTTTTAAACTTTTTCAACATCAAAACTTGTTTTCAAGTCTTGGATCAACAGTTATCTATCCTACATATCCTCATAATCTGCACTTCCTCCTCCTATGTCCATACAACATCATTCAGTGACTCTTATGATGTATATTAAGTGAACATTTAAAAAAAAAACTAAAAAAGAAATTAAGTTAGAAATTGAAAAATTTGAATTTTATAAAACAAAATATTTAGTGCAATAGAATTCAAACATGGATTCAATGCTGATTATATGTTTATTTCTTCAGTTTCTGAGTATCACATGATTGTGTGTGGCCTACAACTCATTAGGACTATATAGGAACCACATTTACTGCAGCCATAGCAGTAGTGGTGTGTTTCAAGCAAGAGAGCCTGACAAAGCCCAACCCTCTTCAAGCTGTTTTTGAATTCAGAGTTAGTCTTCTAGACTAGTTACGACCTCTAGGCCAGAGAGCCTAGCCCACCCTGCTATTTAACCCATAGCTAGAGGAAGGTAGATTCATGCCTTTTCCAAAGTGGACAAAATAGAATCAAGTAGGAATTGAACTCAGCATGCCTAATTCACTTTCTACACTGATATCCATTACACTATACACACCTCCATCATATGATTGCAATTTAACTATTATACACAGACAATTATAGTATGAATTTTACAATATATATTTTGTTTTATTCATAAATGTATAATATTTTGATATATAAATTTGTTGGATTAAGACAATGTTGGCCCGTGGCCACATCATCACACAACAAGTAACAATTGACTAGTAATTGTTTGTGATACTGCTATGTTAATGTTCTATGACTAATGCTCTTGTTGCAATAGAATGAATAGATATTCATGAACATAGAGAACAAAGATTTTTTTTATATTGTTAAAAGAATAAACTTAAGAGGAAAAAAGCTTAAACATTAACTTACATTGTATGAATAAATATGTCTACTGATGATTATTTTCATAAATATAAAAAGAAAAGCTTTGTATCAAATACTTTCAGATATTGTATAAGTAAAACAATAGAAGAATGTAATGAAATATAACAATTGAATCCTTGTTTAGGGTTAAGTGCTTAAAGTATTGAAGGAAAAGAAAATATTATGATTCAATATAAAGACAAGAAATAGTAGACTAGTAATGACTAGATTAAGTCATTTGATATTGATTAATATTTATCATATATAATAATTCTGTGTGTTGTTGTGATAAATAAACAGGTGTTGAACTAACAAAGGAATTTATAAAAATTCTCTATATTATTATTCCTAAGTTATGAATGTGGATGTTGACTAGAATTTTATATAATTAAAAATATGTACTCAGTAACCAATAGCAAAGAAAGTTACAGAATTAATTTAAGTTTTATGTCCCATCCCTTTGGTTTGCCTAAAGCTATGAGTAGGCAGTCACAGAAATGGTCTTTCCTGTCTTTAATTTCCCTTTGGTTTGGGTGTGTCTAGTTGATTAGAGCTACATAAATAGGTGTGGTAATATTCCACTATTTAGTGTGAGAAGCAGTTTCTAATATATGTATATGCTTAGCTTGGCATTGAGTTAATAACAGCAGTATTTCCCAGCTAAGAACAAAGTGAATTATTATAGAATAGGACTTCTCATAAAAAAATCTTGTTAATGCATGTTCTCATTTTTATTAAAAATATTTTTATTATTTATGCTTTTTAATATTGGAATTTTCTGAGATGTAGGCTAGACTACATCTATATAAGGTTTACTTTATAAGCAGTACTGCAAAAAGAGATACCACCATAACTTCAATTTTCTCATGGAGATTATGAAAATTGTTAAAATAATTTTTCCTTAAAGTATACAAAATAGATGAAGTAGAGTTTTTCTTATATATACAATGACTATTATATGAATTTTCTATTATTTAAGCTACTGTAAATTTTTCTAATTACCAAAATCTAGTGGTGGTAAAATTATCATTCTGTTGGATTTGCTTTATAATTGTGCAACTCCTAAAAATCATCTTCATTTATAGAAACATTGCTCATCTTTTTACAACTGTTGAGTATCATTTGCACATTTGTTATTGCAGGCCTCCAGGATTGTATGTAATCTATTACACTTACTTGAACATTTAGTTGAAGTTTTATGAGTAGGGAATTATAATTCTTCAACCAAAATCTAAATTGTTTTATTTACATTTTAAGAGTTCTAAATGGCCTTAAATGTTTTCCTATTGAGCATGGGCCAATAATAACATTGTTTAACCTAGTAAAATCCAAGGTAATATTTTTTAAATGCAAAAATGAAAATTATCATTTGTATTCATAATTTTTTAAACCTAGAGAAAGACCTTTTTTTTTTCTGGCTTCATTAAATGAAAACATGATATATACTTTATGCATCTTTTAGTTCATGTAGAACTAATATCTATTGTTAATTTCACATTTTGTTGATCTGTTCTGATAACATTTTTGTTCTTAACTATTTTGTTTCTTTGTCCTAAAAATAAGTACTTGTTATCATTTTTATCTATTAAAATATACTATTAAAATTTGAATTTTTATGTTTTCCTGTGTTGCATTTGCTTCTAGGTTTAGTGATAGAACTAACTGAAAAAATATACTTTATGGGTTTTGAAACTGACCTAAATATCCCTCCTAAATATATGGTACTAGCAGTAGAGCCCGGCGTTGCCCGGGGATATAACAGTAAGAGATAGATCAAGTATCCACCATCATAAAGACTGAAAAATAAAATTGACAAAGATTATTGTTTAAGGTTGACGGACACGCATGTCTTAATTAGTATTTTTTTTTCTTTTTTTTTTTTTTACGAATTGGTCAAACCCAAACTCAAACAAAAACATTGTTTACAATCGTTATGAGTCTATCGATTGATGAATAGAATTTTATTATAAACAATTGTCTTGTAAATGGAATTTTTAAAGCATTCTGAATGTAAAAATAAAGAAAAAAAATGCAAGACAATAAGAAACACTACATGCCAAAAAAAAAAAAAAAGTTTTGTTGAAATCGGTTGAAAAATGTAGGTAGCCTTTCTGTAATCTTTTAGTTTTACAATTTATGATTTTTACTTATTGAATACAGTAAAAAAATTGCATATTTTGCTTGTGGTAATTCATAATTAGAATTCTGATTTGAATATATTTTCCACTTGTTGTTTCTAATACAAAAATATTAACTTTATTTGGGTTTATTAATTTATTACAAGTACTGTGTTCTTTCCTTAATAATTATCATTTTTGAAATATTGTTGTTTTTTGTCTATCAGATTTCTTTACGCTTCGGCATTTTTAAATTATTTCTTAATACTTTCTTATAAATATTGAATTAATTTCAAATAGAACCAATGCCTTATTGATCTGCCTTGTAACAAATTGCAAAGGAATTGTAAAACGGCCCTGAAGTACGTGGAATTATCTTTCCCTAAAGATAAAGAATTATCTGATTTTTCAATTGCATTTTTAATCAGTAGAGATCGTTAGATTATTGTTTAGGTTGACGGACACGCATGTCTTAGTTTTTTTTTACAAATTGGTCAAAGCCAAACTCAAACAAAAACATTGTTTTTCAATCGTTATGATGAGTCCCACGATTGAATAGAATTAGAATTTTATTATAAACAATTGTCTTGTAAATGGAATTTTTAAAGCATTCTGAATGTATAAATAAAGAAAAAAGTGTGCAAGACAATAAGAAACACTACCTGCCAAAAAAGAAAGTGAATGTTTTATCGGCTGAAAAATGTAAGAAATTCGATCCCATATATAAAGGAACACACACACACACACACACACACACACACACACACACACACACACAACATGGTTTTTTTTTTAACCCGATCTGAGTTGTCCCCCTTTCATTCTCATGATGTGTCTTTAATCGTGTTTTTAAATTGATTTTGTTAAAAAACAGTTGTTTTTCCCATTTTCGGTGCTGTTAGAACCACCACAAGGTAATTTTATGTAGTCCTGTGAAGTTTTGTTGAAATCGGCTAAAAAATGTAGGAAATCCGATCCAATATATAAACGTTAGACACACACACACACACACATATACACACTGCGTTTTATAATAAGTAAGATTAAAAATTAATTTTGGGTAGCCCAAAGTATTTGTTCTGTATTCTGACATTAGGAGCATTTAGCTTTAACCAAATTCATTCAAAAAGATTGATTTTATTCTAAAACATATATCAGTGTAAAACTAAATGTTATCAAAATTGACATGCTAGGGTTTGGAAGAAAACAGACAACATTTTCAGGTTTTTAAGAAAGGTAAAAATATGTCTCAAACAAAAAAATGATTTTTCCAGTTTATGGAGAAATTACTATGAATGATTGCGTCACAGGTTTTACAAAGTTTTTTTATTGGCGATTTTTTAATGACTACGATTAGGTAGACCAGTTGAAATTGGTAAAGATCAAATCAAGACATTACTTGAGAGTAGCAATGTTATAAGATGCAAGAAATATCCAAATCAAGCATTGAATAATTATTTGCACCTGCTTAGTTATGTTAGTTGTTTTGATATATGATTTCTAGATAAGTTTAAGAAAAAATCAAACCACTCACTGAAACAAATGCTGGTTTTCATTCAAAGAAAGTGGTGCTTTGTGTATAATGGAATACAA